TCCATTCTCTACCTCTACAAATCTCTTATTCGTCCCTGTATGGAATACTGTTGTCATATTTGGGCTGGTTCTTCTAACGATTCACTTTCTCTTCTTGACAAGGTCCAAAAACGCATTGTAAATGTTGTTGGACCTAGACTATCTGCTAAGTGGTCATGGTCACTGCTCAAAGGAGTTATCATCTCTAGTTCCATCAACTAAAATTCAATCTCGTATAACTAGTCATTCAGCTAAGTCTCATTCGTTTACTGTATCTGTCCCTGCATGCTTTAAAAACCTTTATTCATCTAGTTTTTTTCCCCGCACTTCAATCCTTTGGAACTCTCTCCCATCTTCATGTTTTTCTGACTCATACAACCTTCAACTTTTTAAGTCTTCTGTCAACCGTTTCCTTGCTCTATAACTCTGTTCTTTTTTTTTCCTAGTAACTCCTAACTTAATAGTGGTTGCTTGCAGCCTTGTTGGGAGTGAATTAAAATAAAAAAATTTAAAAAAAATAAAAAAAATAATAAGATATCTACTCATGTTTGTTACATTCCATTAATTTGTTATTTCCATTCATTTGTTATATTCCCTTCATTTGTTATATTCCATTCATTTGTTATATTCCATTCATTTGTTATATTCCATTCATTTGTTATACTCCATTCATTTGTTATATTCCATTTATTTGTTATATTCCATTTATTTGTTATATTTCATTCATTTATTATATTCTATTCATTTGTTATATTCCATTCATTTGTTATATTCCATTTATTTGTTATATTTCATTCATTTGTTATATTCCATTCATTTAATTTGAAATTTATGAAAAAGTTGTTCTTTTACGCTTTTCTATCATTTTTAATGTTTCAAATGATAAACCAGCAAAATATTTTGAAATACTTTATGAAAAATCAGCTAAATTTTTGATAAACCAGAAAAGTATTTTTCAGTCCTTTTGCGGCTTCACTAAAACTAAAACTACTTTTTGTAGTTAAAGAAAGTTTTAAAGAACTACAGTTTTAAAGAACTACAGTTTTAAAGAAGATTTTTGTTTTGAAAAAAAAATTACGAGTTTAATTCAGAAACATTTTAATGTGGTTGAATATCTTCATTTTAATGTGGTTTAACTTCTTATCTTAATTGCTATAGTAATCACTCTCAGTGCAAGAAAGTTAAAAGATCATTTTATTAAACAACTAAATTTATTAACAATTGTAATTTTATTCTGTTGAATTAAGTGAATGCAATTAAATGTAAATAATTGCAATTAAATGCAATTATAAAAATTTAAACTAAAGTATAAAAAAGTACTCTAAATATTCATTGAAATGTGATTTTTAATAGCTAAATATATATTAGATACAAATATGTAATATAATAATAATTTTATTTATACATTTTATAAATATGTAATAATGCTAAATATATATAATTTTTCTACTGATTTGTATATATATATATATATATATATATATATATATATATATATATATATATATATATATATATATATATATATATATATATATATATATATATATATATATATATATATATATATATATATATATATATATATATATATATATATATATATATATATATATATATATATATATATATATATATATATATATATATATATATATATACCGTCTTTGTGTCATCCTGGTCCCTCAGCGAAATAATGATTGTCCCCTTTTCAGCCTTTCACCTTTTCCCTTCTTTCTGGTTTATCAAAAAAATCGAAAATATTGACTTCTAAAGAATACACACTTTTTTGTCTATACTATAAACTCGTTTCTCCGCGCAGCGGCCTTGCTCATCAAGATTCGTGTTTCGGAGTTATAGAGTTGAGAGAGGGTTATAACCATAATTAAGTAGCCTCCTCGTCTGTAGTGGCCTTCTCGGCCTTGAGGAGGTGAATTAAAAAAAAAAAAAAAAAAAAAAATATTACATTAGATAAATTATTTTGAAATCTTGCGGTTGTTTTTTAAATCAGCGAAACTATCAATCACACCTTCCACATTGATTTCTTTTAAAAGAACATTTTCAATTTGAAGAACGGTTAGAGCTGACAGACGATTTTGTCCACTATTAGATCTGTGGCAATTCTTAACCTTTTTTAAAGTTGAAAAGGACCTTTCTTCAGTACAATTTGTAACAGCAACAGAGAGAAACATTCTTAGAACAACATCGACATTAGGAAATGTGGATTCAAGTTTCTTTGATCGAATAACCAGAAGTAAATCAAGATAATTTGGTTTTCTGAATTCAACGGTACTGATTTCAATTGAAGTAGGAACAAAGCTGTTGAAATGCAGACATTTATTTGGAAAATATAAGTCCACGTCATTTAGGTAGATTTTTAACAGTTCTTGGCTGTGCAATGCGATCGCAAGAATTCATATCAGGAAGACAGACAAGGAATCTAAAACAAGAGAGAAGTAAAGCATAAGTTTGCCTTCGCCTTTCAAGCTCAACTAAAAGTCTATCTATGATGACATTAACTTTAACAACCATTTTTTCTCTTCTAGTGAAGCCAGATGCTTTAAAAGACAACAATTTTTCAAGTTGGCGTTTGCACACTCTTCTTTGTTATTTGTCAGTAGAGTACTTGTCAGTACATGCAAATATCATAGCTTGAAGCATTTTATTCACTTGTTGAACCTTTCTATTATTGTGTTCCAGATGACTACCATGACAGCCGCTCCAGCTGATCCATTTTTTTGAGAAGTCTACTGGCTCTAACAATCATATTAGGCTGTTGCATTATGTCATCTCCCACAGGATCTCAATAGGGTTGAGATCCGGAGATTGAGGCGGCCAGTCCATCACCAATAGTGGTTGTCTTGAAACCACTGCTTGACTACTTTTTTCAATGAGTTTCAGGTCGTTGTGTTGCTGAAAAACCCATTTTATTGGCATATTCCATTCAGCATAAGGTAACATAAAATCTTTCCGGATATTTTTATACATGAAGCGGTCCATAATTGCATCGATTCGATGTATTGGACCTAGACCGTTAGCAGAAAAACACCCCCAGACGGCTACATTGCCTCCACCTTGCTTTATGGTCTTATGGCAGTAACGTAAATTGAGGCGTTTTCCAGCCGGACGACGTACACGGCAAATGTCATCGCTCCCTATGACGTTGAACTTCGATTCATCACTAAACAGGACAGTTCGCACATTCCAGTCAATATGAGATGTAGCAAACAGGAGTCTTTTCTTCTGGTTCTTTATTGAAATCAATTCTTTGCAAGGCGTTGAGAAAACAATCCGGCTTCAACAGCACGTCATCTTATTGTTCGGTCCGATACAGGCAGCTCTAATTGCTTTTGTATCTCTACTGATGATATCTAGGGACCCTTTTAAACGGATCTGACAATCATAGAATCCTCTCTAGAAGTGGTGGAACGCGGTCTTCCACCTTTGTTATCTGCTGCCAACTTCCCCGTAGAACGATATTTGAAACAGTCTTGATATGGTCCATTTTTTCACACAATATTTATCACAAATACTTTTTTTGTTCCATTTACGTAATTGCCAATAATTTTCTTTCTTAGTTCTGATCCAACACTGTCGGGAGCCATTTTTGCACTTAAAGTCATAAAAATAATAAAAATAATCACGCTTCTCAAGGCTTACCGTGTTACATTTACCTTGTGATGATACAATAATGCTCTGTAGAACACAACGTCTTGGTTGGATGTGGACTGTATTGATGTAATGAAACACTTGTTGTATTTCACTTCTTGCATTGATGTTCGATAAAACACTTTGAATCGATAAAACACTTTGATAAAACTCACTTCGATAAACTGTCTTGATAATACTGACTGATTGACTTCCATATACTGACTGATTTACATGTCAGTTTACATGTCTCTTATATAGTAGAATGAACCTGTGTGAACCTGTTCTGGAAGATCCTAGATGCTTCTTTTTGATGCTTCTGGAAGCTTCTGGATGTGTCTGGATGCTTCTGAATATTTCTGGATACTTCTGGATGCTTCCAGATGCTTCTTCTGGAAACTTCTGGAAGCTTCTGCATGCTTCTGGAAACTTCTGGATACTTCCTTTAATTATTAAAAAACTTCCGTGACGTTGACACAGACCAGACTTAAGAAAATGAAACAAACCAAAAAATTTGCACTTTGCAGTCCGCTGAAAAATGGCACTTGTCAACGAAATTCTGCCTGTGTGCTGTCACCTGTCAGCTGATTGCTCATGTCATGGCATGCTCTGACTCCAGACTCCTGAACTGTTTGCTGTGGTAGTATAGTTTGTTTTGCTTTTAAGACATGTAAAATTAGGAACATGTTTTAGCATTGTTCGATGTTGGTTGCAAATGTTTTGTCCAATACTATATATATATATATATATATATATATATATATATATATATATATATATATATATATATATATATATAATATATATTAATACAATGATCTTTTCTTCACAAGAAAAAAACAAAATATGTTGATTTATGAAAAAAGTATGAAAATGAAAAATAATAATTAGTATATGTTAATAACAATGACTGTAACATTAAAAAGAACTTTTTTTTGCATTACAGAAAAAAAATTTATCAAATTAAGTATAAATATACCAAAAATGAATAATAACTCTGTGAAAGATAAAAACACTATAACAAAATATTGAACTATACTTGTATATATGTATATATATATATATATGTATATATATATATATATATATATATATATATATATATATATATATATATATATATATATATATATATATATATATATATATATATATATATATATATATATATATGTATATATATATATATATATATATATATATATATATATATATATATATATATATATATATATATATATATATATATATATATATATATATATATATATATATATATATATATATATATATATATATAGATAGATATATAGATATATAGATATATAGATAAACTGTTTTTAAATTGAATTATTAACTTAATTTTCACATACTGTTTAATTATTTCTTCAAAATGTAAATGAGGTAACCCTATACCAATATGCTTCTGATTGACAAGAAACACAGTGCATACCTAAAAAAAGAAATACAGAGCATACCTGGAAATGAGTTAAGGTAAATACAAATAAAAAATTTCTAAAAATTGGAAATTTTAAAATAACTTCCAGTTATAAATCTCATCAAATTAATTGTCATAATACCTGACTCAAATCTTGAACAGTCTTTTTCAACATTCCAGATGTATGCCTCACCAAGGACCATAATTTCATATGACAAGCCTAAAATATTGAAAAATAAATTGTTTCTACGAAATCTATGAATCTATGAAAAATATTATTCGGTATTAATTTATTGATAATGCAGAAAAAAATATATTCAAAAGAAAATTAATCAAGCAGAAAATTAAATTCAAAGAAACCAGAAATTGCATGAACACTAAGGTACAAAAAAAGTTTTTCAATTTCATTATAACTTTATATACAATTTCATTATAACTTTATACACTATGTATATATATGTATATATATATATATATATATATATATATATATATATATATATATATATATATATATATATTATACACTTTATATATATTTATTATATTATATACTTTATATCCAATTTCATTATAACTTTATATACTAAATCCACAGAAAATCACATTAAAAATAGAAATAAACTATAAAGTTTTTTCTGAGGAAAATATATTTAAAAGTTTTTTCTGTGAAAAATATTTTTAAAGTTTTTTCAATAACTATTCATAAAATAATTTTTTTAATTTTTGATAAACAAAATTTAACTTATGAAAACCTTTTTTTTAAACAAAGTTACCTTTTCATATAACTCTTCAAGTAGCTTGCTTACTGTAAAACCTGGAATTCCATACAATTTTATATCGTAGTTAAACCCCCTGAAAAAGCAATCTTATTGTTAAACCTCATGTAATATAGTTTTGTATTATGTTTATAAAGTGTCAAAATAATATAGCAGAAAGAAAAGCATTTATTTTTATTTTAAATTTATTCCATCTAGTCAATATTAGATCAAGTATCACTCATTATTTTTCACCTTCTTGTGCGGCTGATGTTTTTAATTCTAGTCTTCATGTTTGTTCATCAGAGAAATTCTTCTTTAAATCATTGCAAAATATCAATTCAAAAACTCTTCTTATATTATTAATTCTTAATTCAAGACTTAGTAGTATCTCAACTACTTTTAAAATCTAAAAAAACTAGGCTCACATAAACTTTTTGAAATTCTTCAAAAGCATCAAGTACCAAGCATCAAGTACCAAGAATCAAGTACCAATTACCAAGCATGATTAACAAGTTTGTTAATCATACTGTAATGACTGTAACAAAAATGTAACAAAACATTTGTTATAGTGACTATTATTCAGCCATTACTAGCAAAGTCTTTAATCAATAAACTCCTAAATCTCATATTGAACCAAATAAATTTATAACAATCATTTAATGTATTTTGTTCTTTTATTACATTATTAAAAAGGAGCATTTACTATGGAAACAGTGCATTGAGTTACCGTATAGTGTATGTATGAGTGAAACCAATTATTACAAATCCAGTAGAAGTAGCAATATTATCTCTGATAAAGTTTTTTTTCATTTCAATTATGGATTCATAAATTTTTTTTTAATTTCAATTATGGATTCAGTACATAAAACATTTATTTATATCTACATTATCTTACTAACAACCTTACCACTCAAGTGGGTGATGGCAAAAATCTACATATTAGAATTTGCTATTTATATTGCAAAAATAGTGCTTTAAATATTTTTATGTCAATGAGTATCAAATTTTATGAAAACTATCAATCGAATCAATTGCAAAAATCGTGATCATTATAGTTCTTTTGATTTCATTTTTTACTTATGAAAATCTTTTACTTCTTTTTTTTATGAAACATTAATTAAAAAAAAAAAATGTGATTACCAGGTATTAGGGTTTTCTAAAACTTGTGTGTGTGTGTGTGTGTGTGTGTGTGTGTGTGTGTGTTTGATGTTAGAGTTCACTCATTTAGTGTTTTGCAATTATTTTTTTTCTTAATTTGTAGGACTGAATTGAATTTAATATGACAATTGTCAACAAGCATAAAATTATATATACTATCAAAAAATTGTATACAATATATAATTTTATCATTATATATATATATATATATATATATATATATATATATATATATATATATATATATATATATATATATATATATATATATATATATATATATATATATATATATATATATATATATATATATGCATATATATATACTCTTGCATGTCTCTTGCATGGCATCAAAAAAAGTTTCCCATAAACTGTAGTTTTAAAGAGCGCGTTAATAAACCAGACCAGAAAAAGTTTTAAAAATTAATTTTTTTTTTTTTAATTGATAGACTGCTTGGCCAAACCAAACCCTCAGTCGATGTAGCAGCACTTTCTTGCGAGTCAGGCTATTTGTCAGTCGTTGTAGCAGCACTCCCTTGCAAGTCAGGCTATTTGTCAGTCGATGTAGCAGCATTCCCTTGCAAGTCAGGCTATTTGTCAGTCGATGTAGCAGCACTCCGTTGCGAGTCAGGCTATTTGTCAGTCGATGTAGCAGCACTCCGTTGCGAGTCAGGCTATAAGATAGTCGATGTAGCAACATTTACGCATGTTTTAAAAATGTTTTTTATTAAATCAATAACAAAAACACCACTAATTAAAAAAAACTTTCTAGTCGTTATAATTGCGGTTTTTTAAAAAATTTTTAAAAAACAATTAAATTTAATGTACTTCAGCATAAATTAATTGCTTTGACATTTCGATGACAATCAAAAACAGCTTAAGAGACGAGGTAATTAAAATTGTAGTCGTAAGAGACTTTTTTTACATTAAAACGCTCTTTCGACTACACTATATGGGTATATATATATATATATATATATATGTATATATATATACATACATATATAATGATAAAATGTATATATACAAATATGTATATAAATATATATACATACATATATTATATATATATATATATATATATATATATATATATATATATATATATATATATATATACATATATATATATGTATGTATATATATTTTTAGAATTATATATATTCATATATATATATATATATATATATATATATATATATATATATATATATATATATATATATATAATCATACTTTGTTGTGTTCAAGTAATGGAGAATATCAGCTTGTGCACAAATATCATCAGTTTGTTCTAACTGAGTACGAATTTCATCAATGTCTACTTCATCCTTTTCTTCTGGAGGATTGCTACTTTTTGAGGATTGACAGTCAGTTGTATCAAAAACAAATCTTTGGACTATCTGAGAACATTCTAAAGAAATCTCATAAAAATCAGTTAAAATAAATGAAAAGTATAAGTTATCATAATAATAAGTCGTAAACAAAAAAGAAACCTTCTTCGTCAGAGGCTGAACCAAATGATGTAGCAGATGTCCAAGAAGCAGCACGGCTTAGATTTCGACTTCGCGCAACTGATCCATAAATACTATGATCAAGTGATGACATCTGAAATTAATTAATTAATTAAATCAAGAAATTCATTTTATGTATTACAAAAAACTTTCAATTAACTTACACTTCCTCCGTAAATTGTTTGCTCTCCAACTGAGTCATCATAATTCTTTAATACTTCCCCAGGTCGAGGAGATACAGTTGGATCAGGAAAACGTCGAATTATATCTAAACTTATTATTATTATAATCCGGATAATTTTCTTTTTATAAATACTTTTTAAATATATATACTTTCTTATTATTTATATTTTTTATTATATATTTTTATAAAATTGAACTTGCCTGCAAAATGTTTCGGTTTCACAAAATCTAAATTTTTAATGCTTGATCTCGATAGCATTTCAGACAACTTGCCAACACGAATTCTATAATTGAATACTTAATTTAAATTTAATAGTTTTAATTGAAAATTAAAATTATTAAAATTAAGTCAACTTATTAAAAACATTAAAGAGTATTCATCTCATATGGTTAAACAATATTAAATCTGGCTTACAACTACTTATGGTTAAACAAGTTTAAATCTTGCTTACAACTACAGTGAAACTGGGCAGCATTTATAAAACCTAATCTAATGTTTACTATATACAACCACTGTATGACTTTTTCTAACAATATTCTATAGTTGTTTAAGAGATGTAAACAACAACAAAAGAACTCTTTCTTGTTTGCAAGGAGAAATTATTAATACCACCACTTACTTGAACTTAATTATGGCTAACCCCGCCAAACTTCAACTATAAGTTGGTTTTAAAGTTGTAGTAAAGCATATAAAAAATTGCTTGCTTATGTTTGTGTAATTTTTAACACATAAAAATGCAATCTATTTTATGTTTTATTTTTTTCAACTTTTTTATTATGTCCATAAATTCAGAGTTTTTGTTGAAAATATGACTTTTAATTATTAATAAAGTTTATGCAATGCACAAAAGTTTTTTTTTTTTTTGATTTATTGAAAAATTGTTTTTGTAAAATTTTAAAAACTTTTTTTTTTATACTTTTTTGTTTGAAACTTTAGTTTTTAATTTTTAATTAAATGTTATAATGTATTTAAAATACAAACATTGTAACTTAGATTTGTACAGGCTTGTCTTTTTTATTTATAAACCTTTTTAATTATATATTTATCTGTATTTATATTGGTTTGTGCATATTTATTATATTATATATGTTGCATTATATATGTTATATATGTTATATGTGCTGATTTTAATTAGTTTTATTATTTTCGAAGAATGCAAAGATTGGGGCATAACACCTATTAAAAAAATAGCAACAACATTTGAAAAAACAACAACAATTTTGAATTAAAAAATAATAAAAGTAATAAACATGTTTCTACAAAACTCAGGAAGAATTAGAAAACATGAAGATAATTGAAGATGAAAATGAGAATGAAA